ATGCTATATTATATATACTTTAACAATGTATCATGCACGCTATTTAATTACAATTAAATTAATTATATCTGAATACTTTTTCATAGAATTTATTCTACAAGAACATTAGAAGAACTCAAGATACCATTAACTTATGGAGCACTGGTTGTATTAGTCCTCATTTGCTATAGAAAGTAGCTGTACCTATGGTCCTAAGGAAAGCATGAAAGTGCCTTTTTTGCATTGGGAGAGGAGACATAAGACATTTATAACTTGCTTCAGTAAACAACTTTTAAACTGAACAGTAGGATTAATGTGGAACTGATCTTTTTATCAGTGTGAATGTTGCTAATTTACTTGTTTTAAAAGTGGTAATTAATAAACCTTTTTCTTGCGTGGTTCTATAGCTCACCAATAACTGAGAAGGAATTAATTCTGGTGATATTAAAACAACCGACGCTTTTGATGTGTTCACCTTGCAGCATTAAGTACTTAATTTTGGTTTTGAGAATAGGAGACAATTGTACATTAATTCGGAAGCTACTGGAAGGGCAAATTATCTTCAGTGGTTTGTAGATTTGGTTTGCCCATCGTACTGGTAGACTTTAGAATGCTACTTTCTACAATTCATTCAGGTGAGGATACATGACTTCATTAATATTAATTGATCTTTATTAATTTACCATGGAAATTCTGTTAACAGTTATCTATTGTCAACAGTATGAATTGAGGTTATTCTGCATCTGTACCTCTTAACCATCCACGTCTACTAATGGACGGCCTTACCGGTCAGAATTGTGGTACAACGAAAGTTTCGGACAATATCGATATATCGATCTCTCTCACGATAGTGCGTAAGGTGACATGAAAGAGATAGCATTAGTCCAAAACTATACGCCATCTCCCTCACTTTTCGAGCCAAGAAACTATTACAACGACATACGGCTAAGGCACGTCCATTAATATATGTCTATGATAACAACCTAACGACAGTCTAGCCACAGCATGAAGATTCTGTACAGTAGGTTCACTTTTTTGATCTGCCTAAAATACCGATACTTTTTTGCGAATTTCTCAGAATATTCAGTACGTATGAAGTCGATAATCGGTAAATTTTACCTAGACACTATTGTTTATTTCTTAACAATGACATATAGTTGTCGTTATTTAGAGTATTTTGTGTTGCTCATATTGCATTGTTTTTGTTTATCCGATTTTGGGGCGTCGATAATTTTCTCCCAGCCAGTCCTCTTTAATTAAATCTGCTCCCTTTTCTCCTACCATGATGGCTGGCGCGTTGGTATTTCCGCTTGGAATGGTAGGCATAATGGAGGCATCGATTACCCTGAGACCTCCCACTCCGTACACTCTCAATCTGGGATCAACCACTGCGGTCGAATCAGTTTCAGGACCCATTTTACACGTTCCAACTGGATGGTAAATTGTCATTGAAATTGTCCTTATGTGACATTCCCAGTATTTGTCGCTTCCAAAAGTGTGATTCCTGCAGTTTGGGAACGGAATTGTATGAATGCGGGAGCCAAATTGCTTGAAAACTCTTGACTGTGATAACTTTACTGCGAATTTTGCTCCTTCTACTAATGTTTTGATGTCGAAGGAATCCGCAAAATAGTTAGCGTCGATTATGGGGTAATGAAATGGATTTTTGGTACGTAACCTGACCGTTCCTCTTGATCTTGGACGCAAAAGCAGAGGCATAATTGTCCAGGCATCCCTATTTGCAATGGGTTTGTACACTGTGTTGTATAAGTTATCAGTAATTCCCAGTACTGTTCGCACTTTTCGTCCACCATCAGAATTTATACTTGCTGGAGCCATATGGAATTGTATATCCGGCCATGATCTGTTTCCGTAAATCGTGTTGATGAACCCCAATCCTTCCACGCCTCCCAGTGTTGTCATGGGTCCCTTTTCGTTCATTACGTACTGCATGGTCATCGGAAATGCCTCAAAACGATCTTGGACTATCGAAATGGGCTTGTCAACAAGGAACGTAAGACCACCCATGCCCACATGGTCTTGAAGATTGTCGCCCACTCTTAAATCGCTTATTACCGGAATTCCCAGTTTTGATATGTGCTCTTTGGGGCCGATTCCGGAAAGCATCAGAATTTGTGGCGAATTAATTGATCCAGCCGATAAAACAATTTCTCTCCTAGCTGTAATTACTTGACGTCTTCCATGTCTGTAAAATTCTACCCCGAATGCTCTTTTAGTATGTGGACTTATTAACAGTCGAGTCACATGCGCGTTCAAAGCGATATGAAGATTTCTTCTAAGACGAGCTGGTCGAAGAAATCCTTTTGCCGTAGAACACCGTTGTCCTCTTCTGATGGTGCCTTGGGCGATCATGAATCCTGCTTGCTCAGCTCCGTTAATATCACGAATGGGATATCCCATTTCGTTCCCTGCTTGTACAAACGCTACCACCAGTGGAGTTCTCCAGGGGGACTCTTGGACTGTTAGATAACCTCCTGTACCGTGGTATGGGGTTTTCTGGAGGTAAGGGTTTCTGTTGTCTTCCGATTTTTTAAAATAGTACAGGACATTTTCGTAATCCCAGCCAGGATTCCCTAATTTTTCCCATAAATCATAATCATTTTTATTACCTAAAAGCATTAAAATTGTATCTATACATACTTATTATTCATAGTCGCAGAGTGTAAAAATTTCTATTGCAAATTTAACTTTCCTAACTCGTATTATAACATTTTGGAATCCCCAATTCTTATTTGAGTTTCCAAATTTACAAAGTAGTTTAATTAATGCAGTTCGAACATGTCCGATTGCAAAACATTTTGAAAGACGATAGTGAAAGGCTTTCTAAAATTTCAATCGCTGTCTGAACTTTTATGTGTATTTTATTCTAATTAACGGTCCTGTTTGCCATTGTTGAGTTTATGGATGCTAATTGTTTCCGAAATATTACGCAACTAAACTGAGAACTGTAATTACAGTTACTTATAGAAAGTCGCTTAACCAAATAAATGCGTAATTATATTACGTTATTTAATTAACAATACATTCGACTATCGTAATGTTTTTTTTAGTGAACTTCAAAATCGAAGGTCAGCTCTTTTCAAATGATTTTTATTGTCCAAATAGTGACCCCATTGAAAGTGAAAGTGTCTTTTCGATTTTATTTTCTATTATGAAACGTTCGTTCCTGTGTTGGTATTACCTCTCACATAGAGCATGTAATTCAGTACGGATGATCCTCCCAGAACTTTCCCTCTGGGCCAGTTGCATCTTCCATTTTTCATACCCAAGCAAGCCCTTCCGGTAGGTTCGGTCTTGTATGCCCAGTCCAACTCTGATAACTGTAGATAGGCTGCTAAGGACGGAACATCGGTTATTTCATTCTCATCCGGACCTGCTTCAAGTAACAAAACCTTCCAATGAGGTACTTCTGATAACCTTGCGGCTACCACTGCTCCCGCTGATCCTCCACCTAGAAAATTGAAATTTCAGATTGGATATAAGATGTTTCACTAGCATGGACATTGGACTAGTGTTAGTTACAAAAATTTAATTGATGTTTGGGCTGCTGTAATTATTTGAGTAATTGAGTAGAGGTTACTCCAGTTATGGAATTACTCGAAATTTATCCAATCCATAAGGAAACAAAATGCGCTGAGGATGACTCATATAAAAACGAAGTAGGAAGGTAAATTGAGTATTTGTGTATACTATAAGTGTGGTGTTGTTTCATAATGGAAGTCAAATGTTAAGGTATCTGAACAAAGGTTTTCACGACCGGAATCCATAGTTGAATGAAGATTCGGGTTATGGGGCCGTGGTGCGGCTGACATCCTCAGTGGTAGTGCTAAGGATGTCAGCCGCAGTAGCTGATGAAACGTTTGGACAGAATAGTTCATTTAGACCACGGTCCTACAGCCCCAATCTTCATTCTACTATGTTAAGGTATCTGTTGACTTACCTATAACGATGAAGTCGTATTCCTTGTAAAGATTTTTTTGATCAATAGGATACGCTTCGGGGTCGAATTTGTTATAATTGTGATACACCAACCCTGCTAGAAGTAACGGTATGACCCAGAGGGTGTTTCCAACAATGCTGACTGTTTTCAAAGCAGTTGATACAACTAAAGTTTCCAACACCATTTTCAACACGTTTTACGAATTATTATTGAATTAATTTTGTGCTTATAGAACTGTACAATAATTATTATTATTATTAAATCAGTCGAAGTAAGAAAACTTCAAATGAGTTCGTTCGCTACTTTTGACTATTCTCACTATTGACTAGACTGGTTTTTCTTCTCCAACCGCAGCTTGGCTAATCTGGAGGTCGATTGTTCATTTCTCGTCGGAGGAATGCCTTATATTTTAATTCTTTTGATTTTTGGAAGAACATATTTTCACCAACCCGTCGGTGACTATCCCAACGGATATCTGCAAAAGTACAAATATATTAGCAGACGAAAATGGTTTAAAAACATTTAAAGAAAAAGCAACTGTTTACATTTTAATCGTCAACACTAAACAAGTGTTTGGCGGTGAGATAGATAGATGGAGGAGGAGAAGAAACAGCTAACCTATTCTGATCCTAACCTGGACGTATGCAAGATAGCATAGGTTAGATTTGGATGAGATAGGGATAAGCTGTCTTAGTTTTGTCTAATATTTGATTTTCTACCTCCATACCCTTCTCCTCCCCCGCTTCGTTCGCTCTTCCAAACACTTTTTAGAATTCTTCAAAACCATCGCTATCATTTCGACCCTTCCAACCCCCCTCCCCTATGATTAACGATCAGCCCATATACACAATTATACTTGGGACGTCCAAATTTGGCATTTCCTTCTTTCAATTTGCTAACTGGACCAGAGTGGTTGCCAACAGAACGCCTACTTTTACTCACGACAGACGTTATAGGGAATATTGTGAACATAGAAAAGAGATGTCAGGTTGGAATTGCAGCGGACACTAATAAAAGAAATGGAATAACATTGCACCAATTGGTGTGTAACAGAAGGAGATGCAGACAGGCAGAGTTTGACCATGTTGCCAGCATCGAACTTTAAAGAAAGTTCACCATTCTCAGGAATTTAGGAAATCAAAGACGCTTATTTAAAGATATAATTCCAGCTAGGCAGTTATAAAGTCGACCCTAAAGCTCTAACTCCTGTACCTACCGTTTACTATTATTCGGTTACCTCTTTTCGCTTGAAATCATAAAGTATTTCCTAACTTAAGAAATGCGTATTCAAATGGTAACAAATGACTACAGTCCCAAGTGGAGACAAAAAAGGAGATACGTCTATTCTCACAGATAAGTTATTGTGGACTTTACCAATTTTGATCGTCCCAACTATACCATACATCCCGTCAATCCTCGCTCCTGACCACCAAGAATTTCAACAGGATGTACTCTAGCAACCCCCTCTATCTGCCTTCACAATACCAAGCTCTGACGGTGGTGAGGATGAAAATATCAGCAATAGCCAAAGAAAGTTTGCCTGACTTAATGTAAAACGCTGCCCATTAAAACAGATGAGCAAATCTAAAAACCGTTTCTGTTAGAAAATTCATGAGAAAACTAACAATACAGTAAGGTAAATTTTATCAGGGTTCATTAACAGTTAGGGTTGCGTAGAGTAATTATTGTGGTTCTTTGAAGATCTAATTAAATGGTAGTGGATACGTGAAATTACTTTAGATTCTATCAAAGAGATAAATGTAAAAAAGGGATAAAAGCCTCTGTTACAGCAAAAAATGATTCACCGCCAACAAACAGTCTCCACGTGCAAGATAAGAAATGATTAGTACATTTTGTTGAGTAACTTTTTGGTTATCAGGTATTGTTTTCCAATAATCGAGGTCTAAGTCAACCGGAAAAGGGACCATATCTATCCGACCAAGGATAAAAGTTGTGGAGGTGGAAAAAAGGTTGATGGTGGCACTGTAATACATAGCAACTAACAAGGTATTTCATGTCAATACTTCAAAATGTTTCCAAAGAGATGTTTTCTAACATATTTGTAATAACACTTTCAATTCAAAAAGTTGTCATATTGAGCCCTTCATCTGTTTGAAGTCCTAAACACCTATTAAACTTTTGGATAATGCAGGAGATAAAATCAATCTGATATAATCGAAAGTTTCATGCTTTTTCTCCATGTCAATCAATATTAGCATTAGCATAATTGAGGATATGTATACGACGTTGTTGTTGACTATTTATACATAGGTAATTGGCAATCGGTTTCGTTACATCACAGCAATAATAGTAATAATAATAGCAACAAGAACAACAGCAGCACACTGTCAGTGCCAGTGCCAACGGCCTGGAACTTTACAGTATACACATATACATTGAAGGATAGTCAGTGGGTAGCGTAGCGTGCTACTTTCTTCGGATCGCAGTCAGCAGGCCAGGAAGTGGCAGCGTACGGAAGTGTTCGTGGAGGAAGTAAAACGCGCTCAACTTCTTTTATTCACATTCCGCGATCTAATGAGCAGCGGGATTGTGGTCCGATGAAAGAAGGAGATTGTAACTATACCTACATTGTTGCCTGTTTCATGTATCTTCTGGATCCGTGAATTAATGAGCTGATGAATTACTCTTATTAATGCGATGTGGAAGGCAACGGGAAATCACCACATTATGATCCCGAGAAGAACGTATCACACAATTAAGAGAAGGCGTCCTCTGGGGTAAAGCACTCCGGACGTAAACTAGTCCCTCATTCGGATGCCCGGGCGGGGACTACTTCGGGGGATGTCATCAATAAATGCAATAAGGGTAGGTGCAATATTTCACGAGTCGGAGCGTGGAATGTTCGGACAATGAGGAAAGTAGGGAAATTAGAAAATTTAAAAGTAGAGAATGATGAAGATACCGTGGATAGAGAAGGTTAGAAATGAAGAGGTATTAGAAAAAGTAGGAGAGCAGAGGACTCTATGGAAGTCAATAAGAAATAGGCGAGATAGGTTGGTAGGACACCTTATCAGGCATGAAGGTCTAGTCAGAGACATATTAGAGGCAGAAACAGGAGTTAGGAGGGGTAGAGGTAGCAAATAGTTTAGGATGTGGGATGTTCTAGTTTTAGGGAAATGGGAAGATTAGCTCAGGATAGGAAAGAGTGAAGGTGCGTGTCCAACCAATCTTAAGACTGACGACCTTATGATGATGATGTTTAGGAGAAAACAATACTCACGAAGTGAGTAATGGCGTNAGCGAATGGCAATGAGCCTTTTGGAACAGGCAATAAATGTGATAAAGTTTCTTTGGTACCTGCACAACAATAGTGTAGGAATTAAACAGAATTTGAAAAAGTTTGCTGAAGCAGATTCTTGAAATTACAAATAATAACATTGAGAAATGATTTCGGAGAATTGATAAAATAAACAAATAAACAGATATACAATTATGACTAAAATATTAACAAATATGTTATAAACATGTAAACACTGCTGTATTTTTTTTGAAAGAATTTTCTAGCCTGATCCTGTTCAATTTCTCAATGACATGTTTCTTGATTTTTCGTCTAGCCTCTAGTTTAATATTATTTAATTATCTGGAATAAAATATCCTTTAAAAAACACACCAATGAATGTGTTTACCGAATTTCGTTTTGTTTACTCTTTGCATTTGTTGGTTAGTCCTTTGTGATTATTCATAGGAGACTTGTGGTGTTGTCATCAGGCAGTAGCTACTGCATGAAACAGAACTAGTAATGAAGAGTTGGCGTAGTTTTGATTATGTTTACTTTTAGGTTACTGCTGTTGTAGGATTGTGTCGTGAAGTGTGATGTAGTGGCTAATAAGCAGGATAATCCGAAATTTTAAATATGTAATTTTCGAGAAAGGTAATCTTGTGTTTATTATGATTAAGATAAATAAATTACAAGAGAAATGCCCAACATTATTTAAAGTTGTGAATATCGGTTGGCTTACATAACCTTATTTTAAACTATCACTTATTGTTGATTACTTAGTAGTATTACTGATGATAGGGGCATACTGGCTGGTGTGGAGTCAGAATTTGATTTTTTTAATATTTATATTGCCCAACTAAACCTGGTTTTATAATTTTTTATTATCAGAATTATAACAACTGTTTCGGGTATCGAGGTATCTAGCGGCGACACACCGCTTAGTATTTCTTTTAAGAATTAATTTACTGTTTCATATTTTTAATAGCTTCAAAAGCAGAAACACTAAAAATTGTTTTATTTTTTCAGGTATGTCCATCATGTCTCAACGTTTAGTGGTAAGCGATCTTATTTGATTGAATTATTCTTTATAAATAACGATAGGGAGAGTACGGGGGAGTTATTTGTAAGGAGGCGCATAATATTAATTTATTATTTTTGCATAAAAAAGATTTAAATAAAGCGATTTGTGATGTACAAAAGAAATTTCTATTGATCTTAAAATTAGGACAGTAGCTGCTGATAATGTAATATGTGGATGTAAGTGAAACAAATGGACAACAAATATGTAAGTTAAGCAGTTACCACCTCGTTGGTTTTTATAAAATAATAGTCCCATAAAATCAAAATTAAACTGTTGTCAATGTGAATTAAAGTGAAAATTCAATTCCATTTGTGGAAAACCAATTAAATTATCCGATTGAAAAAAACTAACTTCTATTCTTTTGGTGTAAGGATGTTTGGGAAGTATGTCAAAATGCTACGAGACAAATATAAATTTGGAAAAACGTTCCTCATTCAATTCTAAAACTCCTGTAAAAATTATAAATCGATTCACTAAACCGTTAAAAGTTATTGAAATTTTAAAAAATTGTAATTTTACACGTCATTTTATGGAGATTCGCTAACCGAACAGATTAAATTTATTTTTATTGACAGAAAAAAAGCTGCCAGAAATTTCAAACTTTTATATTAAGTAACTTGAACTCTGGAGAATCACTTTAGCGTAAGCTTATTCAAATTCACTAAATGGTTATCGAGGAAAAAATGAAAAATTAGCTGAAAATCTCGTTTTTACTTGATAATATAATGATAATATTTATAATTGTCTGAAATAAATGCAATTTTAAAGTTTTAATTATTATTTAAACATATTAAAAAGTTTTACGCTCATTATTAATAGAGATTGAAACTAAATATTTTTTTGTTTCTAAGTTGAAAACAAGGCATATTCACTGCCAAAAGTCAGATAAAAATTTTCCGTATTGTTCGTTATTTCTTATTTTATTCAAAGTTTTTGGTTAAATTCCAAATTTTCTCTCAAACCGTATACTTTTTTTTTGGTATAGATAGTATTTATTTACCTCATGATATGCTGCAAAACCTAATTAATCACGAATTTCTAATTTTATGTACTCTTGTCTCCGATTGTACCTCCCAAACATCCCTAAGAATACTACTTTGGCAATTATTATTTAAAATTCATTAAATTATTATAATTGCACTTAGTCATTTTA